TACTGTCCAAACAGAAAAAAACTTAATTGGTAAATGTTTACTTAGAATTTCCACAGTGTAGCTTTTAAAAACATATGACGGTTTTAGGAGCGGAACAGAAAAATGATATATGAAGTGAAGAAGATGGAGAAGTAGCGCCAAATAACTCGGAGAAGTTGATAAACGTCTTCTCAGTTGAAATGAGTTGGACTTCCGCCGCACATGGGGCTTACATTTCCAGGCTCGGTAATAAATGTCTCACTCTCACTTAAATACTATGGGTTAAATTTAAAGAATTATATATACATTTATATATCTATTAATTCATCACACAACTATATACACACTGTAGATTTAATCATACTTCCTGATTGATCATAATTATTTAAATATACTCCTTAATTCCTTAATAGATAGATGTTTATCTTTTGATAACAGCTAGAAAAACTTTAAGGTATCTTTCTGAGCGGTTTAAAGTGTTTTGTTGTTTACCATTTATTTAGTTCATTTCAAACCAACTTTAAAGAATTTTAATTAAATAAAATAATCTTTTTTTAAAATTTCCCGAATAGGGAATAGGCTATTGGATGTTCTTTTAGACCTGTCCTTTCAAACGTTATAAAACAGTTTTAATTCAAACTGTAACAACAAAAGTTATAAATGGCATAGACTTTTAGAATGGTTATCAGTAATAACTTGCAGAGGATTGTTTGAGACATAGACTTATTGCTCCAAGGCAAGTCATTAATCAAACTAATAATCTGTTTCAGAGAGAGGAACAGTTAGTTAAACAGGGGACCAATTTGACTTATAACTATTTAACATGATAATAATGATTTTAATATTGAGATAAACCGTCATAAAAAACCTGTTTATACTGTAGTAATAGAGTTAATGATATTTTTAGAGTTGGAATGAAGTAGAGGTCGTGCGGAACGAGGTGAAGCCTGAGATTTTCGGCGGGAACGGTCTAAAGCGGGGAAATCCATGGTGGGGGTAGGAGACGAGCCGATCCTCGCCTCGCATAGCGACACTTCCCCCGCCATACCACTATTCCCCTCCAAGCTTCACCTCGTTCCGTACGACCTCTACTAATATCACTCCTGGTTACTGAAATTCTTAAGAATGGTTCATTTTAGTAGGCCTACAGTCATTGACTACACAGAATAGATTTCCGGTGTAATGTAAAAATTTGAAGCTAAGAAAATATATAATATAAATACACCAGAGAGTGAAGTATTGGGTTGAATCTATATATTAATAATATTCTAGGCAAGCATGTTTCTTTAAAACCTTTTTTTCCTCAGCTCCTGTGCATTGTTGGGAAAATCTATGAATACTGTTGAAAAGATATTTTTCTGTGGATGTGCAGAATCCTTTTATAAATTAAAATAGGCAAAAAAATTAATTTGGGGAAAAAATAACATGGTCCTTTCTGGTGACGAAATAACAACAAAATATAAACAGAAAATCAAAGCAAATGGAAGAAATTACAATCACATGTTTTATTTACAGCGTTCAGTGAAAATAGAGAAGTCTGTACATTACAGATTTGTTGTTTTTGAAGTTTTTGACCACTGGACAACCTCTAGTATTAATTAATTCTAGAGGTCGACTAGGGCTAGAGGTTGACCAGTGGTCAAAAACTTCAAAAACAACAAATCTGTAATGTACAGACTTCTCTATTTTCACTGAACGCTGTAAATAAAACATGTGATTGTAATTTCTTCCATTTGCTTTGATTTTCTCTTTATATTTTGTTGTTATTTCCTCACCAGCATGGCAACCCATAAGGACCATGTTATTTTTTTTATTTCAAATTAATTTGTGTGTTTATTTTTGAGCTTATTTTAATTTATAAAGGAATTCTGCACATCTACAGGAAATTATCTTTCTAACAGTATGCTACATGCGTATAGTTTTTCTTTGCAATGCACACAAGCTGAGAAAAAAGGTTTTAAAGGAAACATGCTTGCCTACTAATAGGATCAATGCAGAACCATCAATGCTTCATATGAAAATTAAAACAGACATCCATATTTGTAAGTAAAATACACTGTGTGCTGCTTTACATTTACTTCCCATTTAAATGCAAGTCCTTTCTGAATAATCTCGCAGGCTTGAGATCTTTTCAACTCTTAAATATTGATTTCGGCTCGTATAATGGAACTCTAAGATCAAAGACATGCTTTTTGCAAGAATGGGGTCAACAAAGATTTATATATAAAAAAAAACAATTAACACATGTATTTTATAACTGTAAAAAAATTTATAACTGGTCCCAAACTACTTGTATGTAATAAATTATCAATGCTATTATAGATTGTTTGAATTGACCATCTTGGAACATTAACAGACAAGGTGTTTGGACTATTGACTTTGGACTTTGTATATTATTGTAAAACAATCATTAATGCATTTATTTATTTGTATTCCTAAGGATATGTACCGTGAATATTCTCTATGGTCTGTAAAAAATCTATGTATTGAATTTCATTTATATTAAGTAGTTCCTTAGAAATTTTCATAATGTAACAAACTTCACAACAACCCACATTTTGCAAAGTACAAAGTACCTGCTGGACAATAGTCAGTGTGTAAATGGATTAAAACATGTTGTTCTTGTGTTGGACCTGAAGAACAGATTTGTTTAAATATTTAATTTAATAAAATTTTAGCAAGACTTGTTGATGGACAGTTGGTTGCCCCGAAATTTTTGTATGCCTATTTTACTTATTGTTCTAAAAAATACAAACAGATAGTAAAGTAAGTTCTGATAAAAAAATATTTTCAACTGTAAATATTATAACAAATTAGTGTATGATTACATTCTAAATTATTGCATTGTAGTGACAGTGACAACTTGATTGGTGTGAATAATTGTTATTTAGTAATTGCCTTGGATTTAGATGCTGAAAGAACAATCAAGGTAATAATTAATTCACCATAATCACTTTTTATGTAGCTATCATAAATCACAACATACTACAAATTTAATTTATATAAACTTAAATTAGCCTAAAGCAAAGTAATTTGTAAACATTCTTTGTCATATTTCTTTCTATGTATGTTTTGTAATTAAAATGGTTAACACCAAGAAAAAAAATCAATTGCCAAACTGACTAAGAGAAGTACCTATTATTTCATAATTAATTTGGGTTTGTGTCCCATTTTATCTTTATGAGGCAGGTTATTTTATTTTTTATGCAATCACCATAAAAAATAATGCCACAGTAAAGCATATAACACAAAGCTTTGCCCCCTTGTCTGGGAAGATAAGTGGAAGATAAGTGTTTGGAAATCACAACTTGTTGGCTTCCAAGGGCGAAGCAACAGTTTGTTGCTTACAACTCAGTTATGGCTTTATATGGTTCATTGACTCTGGTAGTCACAGTCAATACCTCAAAAATTGTATAACAAACACAATTTTGGGCATACATTAATCTTATGGATGGTTTAGTTTACATTTAGCTTATTTCAATTTTCCCATTAGTGTTACATTAACATTCTGTGCACTTAATTGTAAGCTACCATTGAAAAAAAATAATCATTTCATATGATTACTGTTTACAATTATACACACTTGAGTGCAAGTAAAGATATGTAGAATATATTGTTGATTTCGTTTTGCTACATTATTAGGATCAGTCTAGAAATGTAGGCACTGTAATTGATTATATTTTTTTGTTAGGAAAGTAAGTAGTATGTTATGTGTGAGACATAGTTCCTGAAAATTACTGAAGTATGTCGCTTTACATAATTTCCAATAGTAACATTTCGTCTCTATACGCAATTATCTCATTACTGACACATTGGATTGTAAAACTACACTAACCTGTTGTGTTATTATAAGTGACGAGAGACTACATGATGAAGTTCCACGACAGATCACTTTGCTATGCCTCCCGTTACTACACAGCTAGAGATGGTGGGTGGGGGTGTGATGTGGGGTGGTGAGGGTGACAGAGAGAGGGTTGCCATGGTAACCGGAGAGAAAGGAAGAGAGGAGACTGCGCGTCGCGCCGTCGCCGCAACAGGTGGCAACTGGCAACTATCAATACCATTGCCACACGTGCGTGGGTGAAGGGGCGAACGGTCTGGGCTTAGAGGTAAAAAAAACTACAAATTAATTTGTTTCTTACACGATCTGTTACTTCATTTTGCAATTGAGTAAAGATTAAAGAACCACTACCACAGTATGTGTGCAGCGCGGTACTCAAGAGCTTAGTCATCAACATTATAAATTTAGGTAAAGACACAAATAAAATGTATCTATGTATACAAAATCAACATATAAGCTCTTAAAGGCTAGCTAATTTCTTAAAGACACGTGGAGTGGAAGAGCGTTGAAGCACAGACAGTGTATAGAGTAACTCATATTGTCTTAACCCGGGGCTCAAGAAACAGGGAAATACCGCTAGGCCTACTTAAGGTACAAAGTGGTACAAGACCACGTTCAACGTTGACTTACATTTACATGTACAATACCGGATACCTGATTTTAGCGAATAAATTCAATTCCGGTAATTTTCAATTTTAGTAAATACATCAATATGTTTATAGTTAGTAGAGGTCTATTGTGCTGCTATATTTATTATTGGCTTCCGGTGTATATTGTACATGTATTTTAAGTTTGAAAACGTTGGTCATGAATTCATAAAGGTTATTTTTCAGAATGCATATATAATATAATCAATGGTTATATTACATGTATATGTCGTATGTTCTTAGCCAATATTTTACTTTGTGAAATGAGTAGTTGAAACACTTTGTATTTCCGGATTTGTTTGGGAGATTTACGATTTACACTACAGCTGGCGCAAAACCCCATAGCCACAATCATCATCCAAAAACATAGCTTGTAACTACTAACAATCGAAATAGTGAAAATATTTCGAAAAAAAGTAAAATAAGCCTAGTCCAATAAGATTACTACTTATTGTAGGATCGACATTTTGATTCATGGGTAATTTACCGACAGATCGGCCAATTAAGTGACATTATATCAAACAAGAAGACGACAACCGCACAAAAATAGTTTGTTTATTGTTAGCTTCGTTCGTATTTCGTGTATGTCCTGTTGAAGAAAGAAGATAAAAGTATTATCAATTCCAACTGACAGTTTTGAGAATATCTAGGCCACTTTTCATTTGACAAAGCAAAGGTAAGTTGGTTAGAATTTCTTGCAGCGCAACAACTCGGTTTTTAGAATCAAATTTTTATCCTCTGGTTGAAAACCAGACAACTTTTTGGACACACTAAGTAGCTTTAGCGTATACCCCTACAATCTGATCTTACTTTATGCAATGTAGGCCCAAGTCATTTTTTCTCTTATCAGTCAAATAATTAGGTAGGCCTAGGCCTAGGTCCTCTGCTATCGTAAACTAGGCCTAGCGTTAGCGTACCTAGGCCTAGCCTAGGCCTATGTTAACTTTGTTAATGTTAAGTTACAGGTTCAGTTCCACGTCAGAAAGTGACTGTCATGATAATTCCCATCAACTTGCCTTTTAGCCTACATGTGTTCGAACTGTTTATGTTAAGGCTTCATTCAGAGTCAGTTGCCCATTAAAAGTAGGCTATGCTTGGCCTATAAAACCACTTTATAGCCTTATCAACTTCGGCTACTATAGCCTATTTTAAGCTTTAGCCTAAAAATGCTAAGTTAAGTTAATGCCTAACTTATTTTCCTACGCATCCTATAACTTAAGGCTAGGCATGTAAGTTACAGTTTCAACCTAACCAACCAAACTTGCTGATTATGAAAATATCGAAGGTTAAGGTTTTAAGTTACTAATCGAATCGATAGTTTCAATCAATATTAGCATAGCCCAGTTAAGAAACTGTAGCCTATGCCTACCCGGCTAGGTACCAAAAAGGGTTCTATCAACCTAACTTTACTATTGTTTAGTAGGCTATGTTGAGCCTTTGTCAAAGGGGACCTAAGTCAGTAGGCCTACTGTCCCGATAGAATCAGAGTTCACTTTTAAGTTTTTATGAATTGATTAAGTTAAGTTAGGCTACCTGCGTTTAGCGCCTTGGCCTAACAGCTATGTTAACTTAGCCTAAGTTTACTTTAAGTTAGCTACGTATGTCGGTTGAGATGGCAGCATACGTTTAGGTATCCTATGACCCTTTAACTTACTTACCGTTGGTAGAGAGACCTTCTCTTCTCCCCACAAAAAATTGTAGCCAAGACTAACTTAGGCTAACTGTATTTAAATTATAGATGCGCTCTACCTCAGTTCGGGCTTCAGTTTTTAGCTATGTTGCGCCATTGAAAAGAGTGCCGCGAAAAGTGCTTCCAGACGTTTGTCCTCTCAATTTACTCAGTTAACTTTTAAAATTTGTTTCATCTGAAGGACGTTCCTTACTCCTTAGATTCAAATTTATGACTATTGTTTTAATTTTCTTCTAAAAATGCATTTATAAGTGTAAAATGCTATAGAAACGAGCTTTATTTAGAATACCAGTATTTACTAGTCATTTCCCACCTAAAATTCTACTATTACCAAAAAATTTAAACGATACTCTAAGCCTACAAAAATAAGATGAACAAATTAACATTAACATTTTTCCAATCGGTTAAGAACTAAGCTGACAATTAACGGAGATCCTAAACACTTGCATAAGTGCGCGGCGAAAAGTAGAGCGCACCCTTAATTAGGTGTCCTCTGTGACTAGGCCTACGTCTATTTTCATACAATCTAGGCTAATTGTTGAACTTGGCCAGTAGTTTACAGTTAGTTGTAAATTATTTGGCTAAGTTTTTAAGTTATTGTGTCATTGTTTATAATTTTCTATTTCACATGTTGATTTCCTAAAGCCAAAGTTAGGCTATGTTTACAATTCCAAGTCTGGTCTTTTAGGCTTCTGTTTGTAAAAACACTGTCTTCATTTTTACTACCTATACCGTATTGGCTTAGTTAGCAATGCCTAACTTATTTAGTTTCTTAATTAACTGACAAAATTTTTTGTTACTCACCCTAACTTAAATGTTCTTAAAAATTGTTGCTTTTGGGGTCAATGAATTTTACTTAAGTTAATTCAACAATGACTAAGTTAACTCAACTCAGGCTAGTTTTGAGATTTGTTATCCCATAGTAAAATACTTTAATAATATGTAAACTTTACAGATGTCTGAAACTTCAGCCAAGACTTCAACGAAAAAAGGATTCAAAGCTCCAGTTTTGAATGCATCGGTAAGTTCATAAGTTACCGTACAATTTATTTTAAGAACAAACTTCAAAAAGATATTTTTTTAACATTTGAAATTTATATTTCATTCTAAGTAGGAGAAAGGTAAACATAACTGTTGTAAGTTAGTTCGCTTGATTACATGGATAATATATTTTTTGGCAAATTTATTGATTTTATGTAAGTTTTATAGGCCTCTAAGGTCTATTATTGACCACAAGTCTTAATTAAAAAAAAAACCCTTTCCTTCCAGTACCGTAGCAGCATACCTGTCAGGGCCGGATTTAGCATTTTGGCGCCCCTAGGCCCAAATAATGTTTCCGCCCCCTGTTCTGGTCACAGTTTCTTTCCTACAAACCTTTATTAAAAACTATATCATGCCTAAAGGCCTATGTTAATTGCTTACACCACTCCTCGTCGGAATTTTATCATTGCAAGGTTTTTAAAGAATTATCTTGTTTAGCCTCAACAAAATGCCGTCTTAAACACTTTTGGCAATTTTCCGGAAAATCTTTGTAAAATTATACTTGTAAAGTCGTCATTTTAAGCACTTTGACGAAAAAAAAAAGAATATTTTACACTCTGAAAATAGGCGTGAATATTATTGCTAATTACACATATTATTGTTCCAATTCCAAAGTGGATATCATAAATATTGCACACGAAATTCTTTACAATCATTAATAAAAAAAAATTAACACTTCTCCTTTACTGTGGATTGTGAATTGAATTAACACTTTGTAAATTAAACAAAGTGGGGGGACGACAATTAATAGTAAAAGCTTATAGGCTATCTTGTTTATTTATTTTTTGTCAAGTTAGGTTTATTGTGTTTTCGGCAGTTGGTCTGTGGAGGGTGTTTTAAAGGTAAAATACCCCCGCCGCAGCAAACCTGCCGTCTAAGCGAATTTCCATTTGGCCGAATTGATTTTCAATTGATCTATTTAAATAACATTAGGTTTAACGAGTACCTACCTAGGTTTGCTGCTACAAGGAAACTAATTAAGTAGTGTTTTTAGTAATATATTGATAGCTTACTATAAAATAAATAAATTTTCCAAGTTTGATCAAAATATATCCATAAACAAGCAAACTACAACATTTTACAATATTCTCCATAAGAATAACATGGGAATTTAAAATTTACCATTTTTTTAGTTTTCTCCGTAACCAATAGCAGTACAAAAACACTTTGATATACTGAATTGTTTGTTTTTTTAAGCTCTTTAAGAGGGTTTAGAGAAAAATTGGGAAATTTTGTGTTTTGAGGGTAAGAAGTGAGAAAAACCAATTTTAACCCCATAAAACCCCCCATAAAACCCTGTTCCCATGGTCCGATCATGCTGGATCGCGAACTCATTCAAGTTTATCCCGCCTTACACCTTCAAACCAAATTTCATCAAAATCGGATAAAAATTACTCAAGTTATCATGTTCACGGACACATATATATATATATATAAATCTATATATATATATATATATATGGTATACATATATAAAAATTTGAACGAATGGTGTTTTTGGCCTCTGGGGACATTAAAATGAAAAAGTAAATCGGTCCCGGGCCTAAGTCTTACCATGAGACCTACGGTAATAGCTACTTCCCTATAGGGAAATTCGCTAAAATATTACATAAATAATTGTCGATGAGATACTTGCAAATTCGTCATTTTAAGCATTTTGATGAAACAAATGAATCTTTTACACTCTGTAAATGGCCGTTAATATTATAGCTAATTGCATACGGTATATTATTGTTCCAATTCCAAAGTGGATATCATAAATATTGTCCACGAAGTTCTTTACAATAATTAATAAAAAAATTAACACTTCTCTTCACTGTGGATTGTCGTCCCGTCACTTTGTAAATAGTAAATGCTCATAGGCTAACTTGTTTATGTACTTTTTGTCAAGATAGGTTTATTGTGTTTTCGGCAGTTGGTCTGTAATTGTGGTTTTAAAGGTAAAAAAATATTACCTATAATTGTCAATGAGTTTTTAATAATAAATTAAAAGAGGTAGTATCATTACAGTGTAATTGATTCACAGTATTACTTTTTACTTTAATGAAAAATATTGTCATAGGTTTATGTTTATTGCAAAATGCGAGTAGTTTACAGTCAGTCTTATCCACGCTGATTATCCATTAAATCCAGTAAACATTTACATCTGTAAATAAATTGAACTTAATTAATAATACAATAGAAGTTTAATGGCACCAGTACCAGTAAGAGTAAGCGTATGACTCACTCACATTCACCGGGGTAGCTCGGTGGCTGCCGCGAGGCTCGGTTCCCTCATCGCCGCCGAGCTGTCAAACGTTGTTTGATATCCTTTTGTGTTTTAAATGTCGTTCGTAGGTTTTTAATCGATACAACAATTGATATAGGCGAATTCATAATAAATAAGACATATTTTAGGCACATGTCAACTATCATAGGACATGTCTGTCCTTTATTTTTTTATTTTCATTCCATGAAAACATTAACTTATTTCTAGCGATAGTAAGGCATCGGCGGGCAGGCCTCGCCGGGCAGGCCTCGCTGTGCGAGGCCTCGAGCGGCCGCTCCACTCGCTCCACCCTAAGGACGGCGCTGGTGATACCATAGATTAAACATAGGCCTTTTGTAGATTTGTCATCCTTAGGGATTAGCTGAAAACAATTCTTTTTATTTAAGTTATATGTTATTTAAACCTAGTTTGTCCAAAATAAGACGATCTAATCATAAACAATAGGTCGTCCCATGGTTATATTACAAGAAACTAAAACACTCACAACGACAACATAGAATAATAGACAATAATAGAAACAAAATTACGTCAAAACTAACCTCCAGTGTGACCAACATATATGAACTAGACATGAAAAACTATATTTAGGATTACAATATGATAACAAGTCGACTTGAGTTTATGGTTAATCTATGGTGGTCCTGCATTCAGATTATATTTGCAAAGCAATAGTCCGGCCAACCATAATTATCCTCAGGTCTGAGCTGAGGAGGAAATGACATCAAATGGTGCTTTGGAGGGGGATTTAATTTTTCTAAAACCTGTTGCAAACTAAGATATTTTTTTCGTTATTGAATTTTAAAGATAAACTTATCGTATTTTTAATATTCAAAACGTATTATATATTTTAACTTGACCCTGCAGTGCAGGTTGCTGTAAACTGATAAAAAGATTAGTTAATACATTTTCTTTTTGTGAAGTAAGGGTGGTAACGGTGTCTAACACGCAAACGCCCCTAATCACTCCGATCAGTGGCGCCGAGCCAGCATAGTGGCAGTGCAATGAGTAAACTGGCAACTGGCAATACGATGCGGGATGCGTACCGCTCGGGCGCTCGACAACATCCCTACAGCCTACTCCCGTATAACCAATATTCGTTATCAATGTTGTAACGAAATTGATGCGTAATGTTGAAAAACTGTTTAACTTATATTTTCTAACGGTTATTTATTTTAATGAATTTAAAAATTATAATGCTTTATTGGCAAGAGTTTTTATTTATAAAATATGTTAAGCTATAGCTATTTATTTTATTTTTAGATAGTAAAAAAATATTTTTCCTCTCGACCGTGCGCCCTCTGGGAGCTTGCCCGGGCCTATTTGGAAATCCGGCCCTGATACCTGTAGGTACAAATATTTGAGTGTGTTGCTGGCTTAGTAGTTTGCGTCTGGGACGTTGGTGCAGGAGAGACGGGTTCGATCCCCGGCACACCCACAATACCGGTAGCCTACATACGGGTTAGGACCAGGGTTGCCACCCTAATGTAGGGAAAATCGGGACATGGCCCCCGTCCCCCCGGATTAACATAGGCTTAAATACGGGCATATAGGAACCAGAATTGGGACTGTCCCGACAGAATCAGGGCGGGGGGCAACCCTGGTGAGGACCGCTTTCCCTAAAAGCGTTTGAATACTTCCTCCTTTGAATTCTCTTGTAAAAATGCCACTCTCACTGACCCAAGCTTAGATTATAAGAAATAATAACCTAGAGGCTACTTATTAAATCTAATGTTATTTAAATATGGAATAAATTCTACAAGTTTAAGGAAATAATTTATATTAATTAAAATCCTTTCAGACAAATAGTAATTCTTTAGTCTGCAGGTTTGCTGTAGCAAAGATCCTATTTTATACCATAGTAACATATGACTTTTACAGGGTGATGTGTCAACAATGCCTCCAGATAAAACTAATTCAGTAGAGGCCAAAGTGGCAAAGACACAGAATAAGAAGGATAAAGTTATAAAGGTAAATATTTCTGGGCTGCTAGTGCTAAACTAAGTTAAGACCATTTATATGAACTATTTATCTATTTATGTTTCCATAGAACCATTCCTTGGTTGATTCTAAAATAGTCTTATCTACAAAAAGATTAAGCTAAATAAACCTACTTTATAAATCTCCCTTTTAGTGATGTGGGCCGGGTAAATACCCAGTGGGTAGGTAAATATAAATTGGGTATTTACCTGGGTATTTACCCCAGGTCAGGGTAAATACCCAAAAACTGGGTATTTATAATTTGTATTAAAGTTAGAGAAGATTGAGATGTTTTTTTGCAATTATTACCTTGTAAAGATAGCAAAATGATAATAAAATGTGTTAAACAAAATTTCATATGGTCACTACTAGCATTTTACTTCTCGGTATGATCACCATAAATACCCAGGTCTGAGCATAAAGCATAATCGGCATAAATACCCTGGTCGCATGGTTGCACTGGTCCTGACTACTTATGATTTTTTAATTTCTATGATAGATAGATGAATTTATTTTATTAAAAGTGAAAAAAAATAATTTGTAAAATAATAATAATTATTTAGAAAGACAGGAAAATTTAACCTAGTAGTGGTATATGTGTAAACAACTTAAGAAAATAATTAAAATTCAAACTGTAGGATGGCAGGATTTAATAATATTTTTGTTCTAGATCTTTTGTTGGTATCAAAATAAAAATAAAACTAATTTCATAAACTTGTGATACAAAAAATTTGAATCTATAGCACAATAAATCTTTCAAAAATATATCAAAGTTAGACCAAAAAACAGGAGATACATTTTTTAGTAGGTTTATCCAAATATATTATTGTTCCCAACTAAGCGGTAACACAGAAAAGTTTAATGTAGACTCCCTCTTATCCGAACACCTTTTAAGCGGACAATTTTTTTCAGCCCATTGGTTTAACCTGACTAGATTGGCAAGAAGTGAGCGGTACTGAAACGACTGTTGTCGTGGGAAAGATTTGAGACCAGCGATCACGTATCTAAATACAATGCTCTCCTAAATTAAAGTTGAATATGACAGTACCGGTACACGGTTTCCGTTTTAACAAGTTTTTAGGGACGTCGGTTTAACCAGAAAAAACGTTATCTGGACTAGCCTCGGTCCCCAGGAGTCTGGATAAGAGGGAGTCTACTGTACTTTCAGTATTCTGCCATTCTGCCTATATCAATCAGGCCTTGGGTCCGTCTAGCCTTCCAAGCCATTTTACAAAATACAAATTTTTTTAACTATCAATTTTAATAACAGAAGAAGTAGGTTTAGGTTCACTATTTCTCTGATGAGGTGTTGTCTTGATTTCATAAAAAAAGTGCTAAATCTTTAAATAAAAGGTACTAGCAAAGCTTCAAGTTACTGTAAAAGGTGTTATAGACTATCCTAATTTATCATGTAATGATAACAATAACATATTTAGGGGTGGATAAAAATGAATTTCAATCGATTTCATAAATACCCAAAATACCCGGGTATTTATGGATTTTGGGTATTTACCCGGGTAAATACCCAGGGTATTTACCCTGAGTTTTAAATACCTGGGTATTTTACATCACTACTCCCTTTAGCTTATTAGATACCATTGTTGACAATGTCATTATGGTCTTCAATCGGTACATGATCTGACCATTGATAGTTTGATGTTGGTCATTCAACAACACTGCTCTTAATTAGCCATGCGGGATGGATGGTATTTTTTATCGCTGTTTTGTAAAATTACTACTTCTCTTGCAATGCACTTCCTTTAATATTGTGACTTTTTAGGGACAGGACAAGAAAATGGAATCAACTGAGGAAAGAGAACTTTCTAAAAAAGGAACTAAACCTAAGAAGGTAGGCCTGATAAAAATAATGTAAAAGAAGATACTTAGGTAGATTTAATTAAATATAAGAATAATAATTAATTGTTTATGTGTAACAGTTTAGAAAAATATTTCATGTAAATGGAAAATTATAAGTTTTAGGTAGGTACTTTAATGTAGTGATACGCTTGAATGAGTTTGGGACCAGCAAGATTAAGTCATAGGAACAAGGTTCGTTATGGGGTATTGATATTGTTAAAAAATTGATTTTGCACGTTTTTAATAAATATAAATATATCCTAATCGCATTACTGCAAATGTGTAGAGCTTAAAAAACAAATGATTTTGTATATTGTTGTGGTAAATTTTCCAATGCAGGAACGCTTACAATTGTCACGGAAAAATACAGGTCGCTTTACAAATATGTAGGTTCTTTCTTTAAAAGAATCAGTGTGTGCCACACTACACCACTAATATTGAAGTTTTGTCGTAGGGTTAAAGGCTGTGAGGAAGTTCCTGAAAAATTGTACCTATACATACAAACTTCTTTCAAATTCCTGTGTAATTGTAATTAGAGAAAAAGAGACCTGTTTTTGGATGTATTTTGATCAAATTAATTAATTTCATGCTAAACTACTAACTTAAAAAATAAAAACACTTCCTTTACCTGAATCAGCAAACCTAGGTACTTGTTAAACCTAATATTATTTAAATAAGAAATAAATCTGACATATTTCAGGAAATTTTAGAGATGCCCATCCCTCTTGACTCGGTCAATCCATAACTTAGCCATGGTTCCCATTTCCACACCGAAACCAAAATTTAAAGAATCTACAGATCTGAAGACGAGAATAAAGATTGCATATAGTTGTATGTGTCTTTGTCTAACAATATGATTTTATTCTAGGATGTCATCAAGGCTAAAGATGTCACCGAAGGCGAAAAACCTCAAAATAAAAAGAAGATTAAAAAGGTAAAAATTACTTTAAATTTAGTTAAACTTATTTGCACTCATTTAACTAATGTTTTTTTTTTTTCAAATCATGGGTTGTATAAAATACAAAAATATATTTGTATTATTTTTTATTTATAATTTATATTTTATGGTTTTATTTAAAGGTCAAAGGAACTACTGGTACTGGAGAAAATAATACGATTCCAATAAAAGAAAAAAAGATCAAAAAGGTAAGTCCTGTTTGTTTTCCTTTGTAACTATACAATAATGGGTTTCTGGTTTCTTTTTTTACTTTTTGTAATATTTAAAATTTATTTCCTAATTTTCGTTTTGTGAGGTGGATATTTTATTTGGAATTTTCCTTAAATGCAAACATTTTCATGTTTTTTTATTCTTAGTGTTACAAACAAATTAAAGTTCCGATAAGACATTTCAAATGGTTGCTTGTATTGAAATTGCCTCTTTACCTCACATAAGGTTACCTCTGCTTGGAAGCTATATCCTAAATGTATTTTGTTACCTACCGAAATGAACTATGTTTTCCCTGCAAACAGCACAGTTTTGTCCTATTTGTCTCTAGAGACATAACACGAGTGAAGACCAAGAATGCCCACAAGCTAAAATACAACTATAATATGTGTGTCTATAAGAGTTGTGATCAAGAAACAAATTTTTTCTCCCAACCCAGCTTCATTTTGAGGCATGCAAAAGCTCTCCTTGATCCTGGCCAATTAAAACTTGGGATTGTGTTGAAAACGTTACAGGGCATAGTAATCAAAATGGGATATGGGATCTGAAACGGGGGTACCATTAATAGCCTAGTTCTTCATGATCAAAGTGCATATATTTCCCTGTATAAAATCAGTATAATTACTGTAGGTGATAGAATGTGAACTAACTGTATTGAAAGTTGCCACTGATTAATTTTTTATTGTAACAATATTTTTAGAAGCCAGCAGAAACTCAAGGTGGAGATGTAACTGAGACATCTCATCAAAAGGAAAAGAAGTTTAAAAAGGTATTGATTATATTTACTTATTTCTTATAATTTTCTTATAGTTGCTCATTTGCGCTTGCGCAACTATTGCGCATATATTGAGGTGAGCTTGTGGTGTGCTTTGCCATCTTGTTTCTGGATCAAACTAAAAAATCCAGGTTTCTTCATCATTATAACTTGATTTAGAAAGTCAGGGCCGTCATCGCACATTTGAAGGATTTCTTAACATCTGAGCACTCGCATTTCTTTCCGCCTGTCAGTCAAGAGCGTGGGGACAAGTTTGGCGCACATCTTCCACGTTTAGATCCTCCTTAACAATGTGTTGCACTGTTGTTTCTGACAAATTAAAGCTTCTGCCACTTAACCGACTGTCTGCGTTAAATTAGTCGCACACACGCTGCACATTTTCATTTGTTTGGGCTGTTGACAGGCGTCCAGACCGAGGCTCATGGCCGACATTTAGAACATGCTAAGAATGAGAAATACAGTTGAAAGATTTGGTCGGGACTCATACAAGTAGCCTAACTTGAGTGTTAGTACTTTAACAAAATGTCTTGTGTGTTTTGTACCTTAAAAGAACAACGTTGCATCTACTGATAGACAAGTCCAAAGCTGTTATGGTGTCTTCATTTGGCATGCTACCAACAAATTGAATCCTTTAGTCGCATAGGCCTATCGACTGCTGAATGAGGGATATAGATCTGTACTGCAGAGCGGCAAGTGTGGACCTAACGGTCGTTCTACAAACAATAACAACCAACAAGTACTGTATGAAATGTATATTACACTGATACAGATGATTACCGCCTCAGTGACATGATGCTGAAGTTTGCAAGCCAGTAACAATAATGTCATTTGGCATAGACAACCGACATACCGCCGCCATCGGCATGGTTTGGCTTTAGTTTCAAACCTTTTACAGTCTTGCTCTAAATAATTAAGGCTGATATCATTTCTAGTACAGCATCTGCTGTCAATTTTTATTATTTGACTGATTAAAATAAGTACTCAAGATACTCATGTGTATTCCTAAAGATGTTTTATTATTTGAATATAAATGTTTTGGGTTCTTTTTCAGCCTGAAGTGTCACTCTCAGATTCACAGTATGAAGATATATTTCAAACGGTTTTACGGAATGCCAACGAACCTGTAAGTAACATCAGCTATAAGCTTGTAACATCAGTAAAATCTCAGCTTGGTTAAACATCAGCTTGTTTACTATCTTGTAGTGTTTTAAAACAGTTGTGTAGGAATGTGATAAAAATGCAGATTCTTCATTAAAAAAAATTGTTATCGTCCGGAAAAAAAAAATGGATTCATGTGAAACCACACATAGCCTACATACATGTATAATTAATTGTTGAATATATTAACACTATCTGTACGAATCATACAGCACTAGACTAGACAAAGTTGTGACTTGTTTCTTTACGTCACTGTGTAGTATACGTAGTGAGTGACTCAAGGTTCGAATATTATTCATATTCAAATTGCCGTCTTAACCAAAGGCATCTCAATCAACTTGTGTCTGATGCAAAACGAATAATACAATACCTACTCTTTTACGTTTGAATGACTATGTTTGTTTGAGACGGTTATTTGGTGAATAGAACTACTGATTTACAATAAATTAAATTTGTGAATTATAAATTGAAACTAGAAAGAGTGGAGGGAGTTGAATACCTTGTCCTGTAATCAGGTAAAAATTACCACTAAAATTAGTTTAGGCTTTTTAAAATCCATTTTCATGGACAACTCTTTAGTCTCCTGTTTACTACCTGACTATAGTTAAATATTCAACTGATTGATTGATTGATTGATAATTGATCAGCTAATATAAAATTACAATAGCCCTACACATTTTAAACCGTTAAAACATAGGCCTATTTTACCAGGAGGTTTTTACTTGTTATCATTGAATTTGAAATCATCTGTTCATGTACAAAGCCTTATATACTTACATACATTTCATACTCATATTAAATTATGTAATTATGTTTTGTATTGCAACAATGAATTTTTGGTACCATTCCATTTCTAAAACTAAGAAAGTTCTTTCAGAATACACCAATTGAAGAACTTATAGAAGCTGTGGCGAGTTTGTCAGAAAAGACATCAGTCAAGAGTAAGTACCTACTTCTTAAATTTTGTATAATATTACTTAGTTCCTAGCGGCTACACTTTTTATGCTTGTGTAATCTTCATACAGGGCGTTTCGAAACTCTTTCACTAAACTCTGTGGGCATGTTCTTTAGGTCAAAACAAACAAAAAATATCATATACATAAAATAAACATATGCCCTATCTTGCTTCAATTTCCGTCTGTCGGTGTGTATGTATTTTTTACATATAACTTCCCAAAACGTTGGAACCAGTTGAGGTACCAACTTCAAACTTGGTACGTGTATGATGACTAATAGGAACTATTTTTTCCCAAAGCATCAAGTTTCTTCTTTGTATGATTTCAAAATGGTGGCTGTTTTAATTTTTCAAAGCTTAATAACTCAAAAACCATAGGATTTGTAAATAAGAAGATTACCCCTCACCTACCAAGGATGCCTTACATGAAGGCAAAATATGCTTAGGGTGGGTTATAAAGTACAATATCAAGAACTGTAGTTTATATTAAGAAGTTGTAAAATCTAAGAAAATAAACTGTGTTGCAGGCTTCCAACAATTATCAGATGGGTCAGTGAAGGCTGCTGGACCTTTGAGTGAACGCAACCTGTCCATACCTAGTCCTTGGGGCTCTCACATCAGCAAGCAAAACAGCCAGGCATCCAGCATTCTCAAGGTAGGTTTTGTAACCCATCTCTTGACTATTTCTTCATATTTTAAGGCTATGGCTGGTTATGGTGCTCATCATTTTATAAGTACCTTAGTCATTTGGTCTAATCCTGGAAAAAATTGAATAGCTTTTTGATTGTTTTGACCAGGGTGGCCGGGTGGTCACATTTCAGTGCCATTTTTGTTTTACGTATATAAGATGAATAAAAAAGGGTCCTAACGACGTATTGTATTTGCTTGTGTAAACACCCATGAGACTTTTACCATATGAAAAACCTGACAGTTAAAAAATTGTGAACATACACTGCAGTCTCGGCAAAATCATAAACATTATCTGTTGTCAGGGCAAAATCTTAAACGTCTACTTTGGTCATGGCAATATTGAGAACGTCTTTTGTGAAGACAGCAAAATCGAGGGTATCCTCTATGCCGTGTTTACATTGAAACTGTGAATATTGTACGAGATTTTGGCAAAATATTTAACATCTTTCTCAGTCACGACATCTTCATTGTCTCCAACGATCGCAGCAATACCGGGAACATTACTTGTAATTGTGACTAAATCAATTTTCAATCGCACATATTCACAAACGCTTTTCTAATAACCGCTTGGCTCTACTCGACCCGATCGTCATTTTCGGACCAAACTGATTCCTCAGACCAACTGTTGCCTCCACCCAACTACAAAACATCAGGAATCTGACAATCTGTAGACCCCTTTTAAAAAGGTACACATGGCAATCAGGAATCATAACCGGGAAAACTAGGTTTTGATGCCGGGGAGTCCAGCGGTAACACTGTTACTTTCAAAGACTATTTGAGACACTTTGATGTGGTTTTTACTATCATAGAAAGTAATTGCCTGGTTTCATAGTTTGTGCCAACACTCCTGTTGTGTTTCAGGAGCTGCAAGCGTCCCAGGCCAGCAGTCTACTGAGCCCTGAGCCGACCAGCAGCAGCAGTGACGAGGCAGACAATGCTGAGGTGGTGTTGTCTCAGAGGTCTGTGCACAATGCTGAGGTGGTGTTGTCTCAGAGGTCTGTGCACAATGCTGAGGTGGTTTTGTCTCAGAGGTCTGTGCAGACACCGAGCAGACATCAGCCTCGTAGACGCAGAGTAGACAAGCGCCCTGTGCTGGAGGATCTGCAGGAGAAACGCATCACAGGGCTGTGGGTAAGACAAGCATGCCATTCATTCCCTCGATATCAGTGCTTTGCAACAGGGAGGACACCTTTCAACCTGATTGTTCATCATACAGTCCTTCTGTTATACAATTCTAATGGATTATGTAACTGAAATACCTACTGCACCAGAAGGAAGAGTATGATTTTATTCTCAAATATACTCTGCTTGAGATTTAAAGTAAAAGAAAAAAATTGATTTACTTAAATCAACTTAGTCCCTATCATTAGATACCAATTGATAGTTTGTATTGCTCAGGTGTTCTGTGATCGCCTCACTTGTCAGAAGCAGCGCTACCTCCCAGACGTGACCGACCCTCAGGATCTGCCTGACGTCTGGTATTGTCACATGAATCCAGGTACAGGCTCGTCTAAACTTTGTTTAAACATCTGTAGTAGAAATAACTTCGTCACACTAGGGGCCACAAGAGTCTGCAGTTGGCGGCAGCCAATAGCAAAACTGGACTAGCATGACATTCTTTAATTTGACTGGTCTCTAATTATGATGTACATATCAACCTATGCTTACCTTTAACATTTTCTTCTGGCTCATAGTGGGTCGCCCCCTCAAGAAGGTAGAATTTAATGAAAAAATTATTTTTGTATCCAGTGACTTTGTTCCAAGTTTTGTAGCTATATCTTTATTATTTTTTAAAATATTTAGCTACCTCCAGGTCTTTTAAAGCGTTAAAGATGCTCGATAACTGGTAACTCTGTAAACCATTCACTTTACAAAAATGAAGAGGACCATTTAGTGTAGATTATTTTTGTAATTGACATATTTTATGTAACAATGCATAATTTCTGAGATATTCAATAAAACTAAAAAAATGCCATTTTTCCAAATTTACCCGCCCTTCCCCCCAACACGACACTCAAATAAGTGTAACATTATTACCAAGCATTATGTGCACTGTACTGAACAACTTGGTGTCAAATGTGCGCTTTCATTTTGGATATCTGGCTTTAGGTCTGATTGCACCGTACTAATATTAACAATAAAATTAACTATACATACTCTTTCAACTCCAACGTCCAATATGTCAGACAACAAACTTTTACTTTACGATATAACTGTGTGATTATAAATCAACATAAACAGCTGAAAGCTACACTGGCATGGTTTAAAGGGTTATTATTGTATTGGAGGTTCAGTGATTGCTGTTGATTGTGTAGATCCGAGATACAACAGCTGTTCATGTGAAGAGGAACAGCCCAGTCCAGAGGAAGAGGAGGACATGATAGACAATGAGTTCACGTGTGGCTCCGTGGTGTGGGCTCAGGTCACTGGCTACCCCTGGTGGCCTGCCATGGTGGACGATGACCCGGACCTCGAGTGTTACTACTGGCTCTTAGAGGACATGCGCACTGTTGTGAGTATTATCAAGTATATTCTTGTGATTTCAGCAAACGCTATCTAGTTAGTCTTTAGAATTTTTGTTTGAGTTAAAGTTTGAATTTGAAAGTCTAACTCTTGTCTAACTTTGACTAGAATTGCCACAGCCAGTTCCAGGAGTGATAACTCCACCAACAAGATCGCAGGCGTGTCGTAAACAAATGAGCATAACCAATGTTTTCCTATCTATATTTAATGTGTTTTACATTGATGGTAAGTGACCGATTGTTATTGCTTCATTAATGTTTGAGACAGTTACCGATTTCTTTTGCCGAAACTTAATTTTTTTCCCACGCAAAGCCGCTAGGAAGCAGTTCCGCATTGTCGCTAGCAGGGTAGTTTTAAGTGGGGTTCCCAGATTGATGAAAACTAAAAACTGCTACCATTCTGTAATGGGTTAAGATGGACACCTCTAGTTTTTGTCAATATTCTTTTTAACTGAAAGCTGTTAAAATGAGGTGTCACTTAATAGGGTTTTATGAGCCGCATTTGATTTTTTTTTATTTAAACATTTAGGACTGCTCCTAAAATATGCTACCCTATTTTCAGTCCCGCTCTAAAGTGTCATACCAACCAAAAAGTACTTTTTAGTTTCTTGTTACGGTAATACTGAGGTTAGTTTTCCCGCTACAATAAATTAAAATTTAATAAGGTATATTGATTTATGTTTTTAAGTGGGGTCTCTCAGGCTGATGAGAAATAAAAATTACCACCATTCTGTTTTGGGTTGAGGTAGAAACCTCTAGTTTTCTAGTTTTTCGATATCTTTGACTATTAATACAACAACTTCTGTATCCAATAGTCAATGCCGATATTCTTTCATGCTGATGGGGATGGCCTTAAAAATTAGGTGTCACTTGATGGGGCTTTATATTTAAAATTTTTGAGCTGCCCCCAAAATACCCCATTTTGGAGTCCCGGACAAAATCATGTCACCAAGAAAAAAGTGTATTATTCCATATACATGTGTGCAGAGTATGGAAACTGTTGTTGTTTGCTTGATTATGGACATATTTGCATCAAATTTGGCAGATTTATTTATTTCATACTGAGCCATTAACATTTTACTAAAACATATTTAATTACCTCCCCTGTAGCCACAAGCTTAAGAACTTGTTCAATCTTATGTTATTTGAATAGGCAATAAAGGTATCTGACAAAAGGTAATATTTTAGTGAAAATCCAATCAGCCAAATGGAAATCCGCTTAGTCTGCGGGTTTGCTGATGCGGACATATTTGTATTCCCTAATTTTTATCAAGTAGTACTTGAACCTGTTTAAACTGACAGAACTGTCATAGTTTGTTTACTGGGGACATGTATTGACAATCAATATCCCATCACATCAAGTTAAGTCTTCTTCTGTTATTATTTCTAGAGCACCATTATCTGCTGGGGAAGACATGGCATTTCGGTTTCTAAATGTGTATTTTAAAATTCTTGGTATCGCACCTTCAAAAGTCAGATCATACAGCAAAATCTTTTCAATTGTAAGTTTGGTGATAATTTGTTGGGATCTAGGGATCACTTTGATGAACACGACACTCGATGATAAAACTACATTGGTTCTGTTTTACCTGAGCACAGTTCCCAATCAAATCGGCATGATCGTTTTTCTACTTATAAATATCTTTGGAAAAGAAAACTACAAACTGATTTTAAAAGACCTGCATCATACGAAGAAGGAACTGCGGAAAATCGGGATGGAAGTGGATGTTTCCAAAGTGATGAGAGTGGTATACTGCTCCATGGTGGTGCAGTGGGTGAACGTCGTCTGCTGTGTGTTGTATGACACTTGGTGGCTACAGCTGGTAGTGAGTGGGTACAACAACGTGTTGAGTAACACAGTGCTGACTCAGCACACGCTGCTGGCTATGCTGCTCCACACCTGCTTCACACAACTCAATCACCATCTGCGAGACATCGCTGCCTCCCTGGATACTACACTTGTAGAGTCCAGCAGTAGCAAGCTGGATACAGTGTTCCGCCTACACTCCACTCTCCATGTCATAGTCACTGATGTCAACACTCACTACTGGTTCTACAACCTCACCTCGGTCGTGTACAGGCTGTTTGCTGTCGTCTGCCACATGTACCACTACCTCAAGTCGATCGGCACGGCAAGCGCAACGTTCGACCCTGTGTACTTCCAGTGGTCGGTGTTTGACTTGTGTTTCCTCATCTGGCAGTTGACGACTTGCCACGCATGTACCAAGGAGGCTCGCCGTACTCCGCAGATTGCCCATCGCATGTTGCAACCTCACACTCCACCTAGGCTGTGGTTGGAGGTCGGCCAGTTTTCTCAGTTCAACTTGGATTACAAGGTTGAGTTCACTGTCGGAGGAATCTTCGCCCTCAATCGACACTTGATCACTGACATATGTGTGATGGCTTTTTCCTACTTGGTTATTGTTGTTCAGCTGAAAGATGTGAGAATGTTAGGCTTCAGCGCATCCGACAACCAAACAGACATTGTTAATGCCACTTTCCCACTTGTTAGTACCAGTAACAACACTTGGGTTTCAGAGTAGCTCTTTCAAGTACTGGGATAGTTTTGTAGGTTCTGATTTAAAAATAAATCTTACACATGACTTCACTAAGTACAATTTCTCACCAATATTAGCAACATGACAAAACCACAAGCGTCTCCTATGTCAAACTATTGAACATCTTGATCTCTACTAATTTGTTCCGTATAATTTGACTGTTTGTTATTATAGTTATTAAATTTTCTGCACATGTGCTATGTGTTCTGTTTCTTTATTTTCTCCTCTTTAACTCATCAAATAATATAGTAATGGTTTAGAAAAAATAATACGTAGTTTAGAAATAAATTGGAAAACATTTTTTCAGGGTCAAAATGGGAACCCATAAAACCCTGTTCCCTGATCATGCTGATTTGCGAACTCGTTCGAATACATTTATTTTACTTATTTGTACCAAATATCATCAAAATCCATTCATTTTTATTTTTACTTTGATCAAGACATGCTGAAATGCATTCAGAATGACCCAAACATTCTCAAAACAGTTATAACTTGTAAGTCATGGGTGAACGGGTATGATCCCGAAACCAAGGCGCTGTCTTCTCAGTGGAAACATTCAACATTGCCGCGGCCAAAAAAGCATGCCAAGTTCGAAGCAAAAGTAAAGTCATGCTGACTGGTTTTTTTTCAACTGCTATGGAGTAGTTTATCATGAGTACGCACCTGAGGGACAAAACATTACTGAAAAGAGTGAAAAATACTAGCTACTAAACGTTCTTTGCCGCTTGTGTGATGCAGTGCATCGCAAGCGTACCAATTTGTGGGACACGAACTTTGGTGGCTTCATCAGGACAATATTCCTCCATGTTCTTCCAATCATTCTTGTTCAAGGCTTCTTGGCACAATATGGCATTCCTGTGCTGTGCCAGGCGCCCTACTCACCAGATATGACACTGCGTTACTTCTGGCTGTTCCCTACCTTGAAGAGCCATATGAGATAATGATAATGCAAAATGGCAGCACGTCCGAAGTCCATTAGGAAGGAAGAGTTCCAGGCCTGTTTCCCAAAGTAGTAAAGAGTTAAGAAAGTCGCAAGGGGACTATTTTGAAGGAGATCACATGTTGAAACAAATTGATCAATAAATTATGCTTTTCCTGTACAAGGTCAGATACTTTTTGAACAGATCTTTCATTTTTGTATACGTATATGTTTCAACGAATGGTGGTACATGTATATGTTTCAACAAATGGTGATTTTAGTTCCTGGGGACCTCAAAGCATAAAAGTGGTTTGTTCTCTCCCCGGTCTAGATCTTACTATGTGTCCCATGGTAGTAGCTTATTCCCTATGGAAAATTCGCTAAACACAAATCTTTGGCTAGTAGGCCATTGCTGTGTTTTATCGAGCTTTCTTTTATTTTGGTACTGATTTTATATAATAATGTTAGACATAAAATAAAGAATGTCTCCAAATTTTATGGATTGCAGCCGTCTGCCTTTGCTCCCAAAATCGCCGATCGCTCCTGACTAAAATGGCTTGAGACAGAGTTCAAAGAAATTTGCTTAGACCTTTAGACTGATGCCGGATTAAAGTGCTGGACCCTTGGATGTCAGATTAGCGGGCTTTTACTGTACGCAGTTCTTTCAATAGAGAAGCAAGTCTAATATAAGTTACTTCAATGTACAAAAAATAAATTTGCTTGTTTCTACCTGGCATATTTGGCTCGGGATTTCCCAATTTATTAGTGAACTTTCTGGAAAGTATGAAATTTAGCATTTCAGGCTTAAAACATTATTGAATTTCAGTACTGATCCAGCCATAACATAGACCAATTATCTGTTTATTATTTTGTACAACGCAGACATCTTCATACTAAAGATTCATTTTATTAGAATGTGAATCATTTATACTGTGCACCCCTACATAGAAATGCTCAGTTGTTATAGTTATCTTAAACACAAAAATAATGGAATAATTGTCCTTAAATCTACTGTAAATTGTGTTTATGAAACTTGTACCCAAGTGTGTATGTACTGTTCTAGACATGGTACCATGTGGTGTTTTTCGACCCAAAAGAAGTGACTAGGGCTTGGATTCCTATCAGCAAAATTGTTCCATTCAAGAAGAATTTGCATTTATTCAAAAAGGTAATAATACAAAATAAATGTAATTTTTAGTTAAAATTAAAATTTGATTAGGTATTAAATAATTTTGTTAATAAATTCAATTAAGTTAATTTTATTCTTTGTTAGCCATTTGTTTTTATTTAACTTAAAGTTGAGTTTATGCAATCCAGAATGTTTAGTGCAACTAGTTTGGATTACTAAGCTCTCATCCTCAGGCTCCTCAGGTACTGGATGTCTTGTCACTCATTTGGAGGTTGTCAAAAGAAAATACTAAAGTAATTACATTATCTCTAGAATTAGAACTTCCACCTGATCATATTGTGTTTCTTGCATACCTTAAGATACGTCCAGAGTGCACGCCGATTCAGATTCAGAATCATATTCAGATTTTCGGCGCTTGGTTAATCTGAGATCTGGTGGCCACAGTGGAAGCAGGAAATATGCTGCCGGTACTGACTCGGTTAGCAAAGAAACAAGTCATTCGTTGTTATGGAATTGTCGGATGAGGAATTAACGTGTAAAATTATAGCGTCTGAAAATGTTGTGAAGTTACAGCCAGTGAAAAATGGTGTTCATGAATAAAGTGGTAATCCTAAAAGTAAGAACGAAAAAAAAATATTTTACTATAAAAACATAATTTGTTTAACTAAATAGTAGTAAATAGTAACGAGCAAAACCTGAATCGGAATCTGAAACCAGAATGAAGAATTCATTCCGGTAAGCAGGTGTCTGCACGCGGGCTCGGAAACCGGCAGCCACTACGGCCACTTCCATTTGAATGCAAGTGCCATTCCTGCCGCCGAAAATCTGAATCGGCGTGCACTCAGGACGTACCGTTAGGTATTAGATTTTGTCAAATGTTTGTGTTTTTAGTTAATTTATGAAGAAAACAATTATTACAATGTTATTGTTGTTAAGTCAAACCAGGATTCAAATTTTGGTAAAAAAAAAGCCTTGAGCTTATTAATTTTTATCTATGACCGTTTTTTTTTAACTGGCCAGTTCAGTTCAGTTTTTAGAATTGAAAAGATTTACTTAACAGCATTGTTTACTTACTTAACAGCATTGTTTACTTACTTAATAGCATTGTTTTATTTACTTAGCAACATGGGTAACGGACCAATGAGGTTCAAGGATTGAGAAAAAATAAGTAAAACTGTAATGTTTCGAACTTCAACTAATCAGCTGTTCAGGCCAATTTAATTGTTAATGAGTGGAGCAATTAGTGTTTGGTACAATGATTCGTTGCATCACTGTCAGTGGCAATGAAAGGTTAAAAATGAAAACATAACATCTCTTAGAAGTCATGAGTTTTGACTGTTGGTAATTAAATGACTGTCGAAGGTAAAGTAGTGTACGCAACTTGTCTTGACAATACTCGCATATGTTTTTAAGGCACTCGCCTAGGCTCGTACCTTAAATTTCTATTCGTGATGACTATGTTTACGCTATCATAAACTATTAATTACCTTTTTCTCTAAAATGTCATAATGTAATTATTGATGTATCACTTGCAGTATTCATTAAAAATTAACTAAACTGTACAATTGAGTAATCCTGTTACTTTTCTCCGTTAGACGCACCGTTTCAAACCTAACTGTTCATTATATAGCTGAATGCCTAGTTTATTTGAAACAATCCTCTTCATAACTTGAATCGGTGAGTATTCATTTTACTTGTGTTGTGTTTTCAGCGTGTGTTGAGAGGTGTAGACTTCACATCTCGTATACAGGTTGCCAAAGACCAGGCTCTGGAAGCTTCGGCTATGACAGTGATACAGAGGCTCAGGAAGTTCAGCTTCATTGCTCGCTACAAGGGACCCATCTATGACGATCAACAACGTAAGTTGTAAATCAATCAGTTACGAAATACTTGCAAATTTCCTTAAACTGTTGCGATCAAGAGGTGATTTTTAATTTTTGTGGCAAATAGCTGAAATATATTTGTCAGTATTAATTAATACTGACCTATTAATTAAAATATTGACCTACCAACAAGGTAGGTTGTTTAGTACCAACCATCTGAGGGAATAGGTGAATTAAAGGACTCAGTTTTTTTTTTAATATACTGACTAAAAGACTTAGCTGATCATACTTTAACACCTTTCACTATCATATTCAACATACGTTTTGCCTTCAACTACTTTTACTACCTATGCAAATCAATCTACTTAACAAGTTCATAGATCCTTACAATTTTATTATTATACTCTTTAACTCTATTACTCAGATTTTAAAAGAAATTTCTTATCAGATGTATAAACACAACCCTTTAATAGTCTTCATATTATTCCAGAAGTTGAAATTACTAAGAAGAAGTACAAGTTGAAGTGCTCCATTGGAAAGTCGGAGACAGAAAAAAGAGGTAAAATGTTTCACAAACCTAATAGCCTAGTTATAAAATCTGTTAACGTTTATTGTGTTCTTATGATATGAGAGTCACTTTTGAAGTAAGCCTTTTGTATTACCAACAAGAGGTACAGTAAAACCTCACTAACTCAACACTCGGTAACTCGATAGTCAGCAGCTGATAGGGTGCATGCAAAAAAAGTAATTTTTCTAAATATTTAGTTTTAATTGTTGAACATTCGACATATTTTTTTTAAGATTGTTTACTCAATATGTAAAAATACTGATTTAAGTAATAAGTTTCTATGTAAAAATTAGTCTGTTAATTTATTAAAACCCGTTAAAATTTCAATTTTCTGGATAACTCAACAACCCCCAAAATCGACAACCTCTGGGTCCACGAATTGTCGAGTTTGTAAGTTTTTACTGTAAAGACTTTCATTTTTTGTATAAACAACCATAATTAAAAAACTATCAATGCATGATAATTTTCTATTAGCAGAGCTAATGACAGGCAATGGTACAAAATTTCAAAACCCCATTCTATAAAGATGATTTCAGCTAGTAGGCTAAACTACAGGATTTGTTTTTTTTTTTTTTTTTTTTTTTTACCAAGGACAAGAAACCTAATTTAATTAATAGGTCATCTTCAAAGAAAATTATTGGGAATAATTTTTACCTCTATCTTTATTTAACCTCAGTCCATCTTATTTGCATGTGAATTACTTAAACGCTTTTTCCAAAAACCCAAATCTTCCACTGGTTTTACAAGCGTGTAGAGCCAGCCTATTTTAAAATCCCAAAAAAAGACTTCAACACTATTCCTGGCAAAATTGATTGATAACACATTATTATTAGGTACAAACGGTCATATTTACAGAAGGTTGGATTACCTGGCTAAATGATTATCTGTCTTGAGGTCGGATATAAGGGGTTCTACAACTGTAAATCATTTCAGCTGTGGTATATTTGTAACATTCCTTTTCTGTTGCCATTTAGATGAACTACAGTTTAAGATGGACAATTTTTTGTGGACACAAAGACAGTTATTTTGCATTTCATATTTCTACAAATACTTTATTTATTTTTATATTGTACTAATAAATAATAAATTGGTATAGTCCTGAGTCACAAACTGACTTGTGCATATAATATATAGCTGGGTCCTCTACTTTTTAAGGCCTAAACCATTTGAAAAACGCTTAACCAAGAATATTAATTTAGTTTAAAACTATAGACCATAGGTAACTCTGCCAGGGGAATCTCCTACTGAAATGTGTTATCTCGAAGGTTCATTAGATTGATTGCAACCATTTTCTCATTGAATGCCTGATGGTACTAAACACTGGCTGTAGCCCAGTAAAAGTCTCTTGGGCTGATAAGCGAGACATTGCTCATTCAAGATTCCGCCTTCATTATCTTATCACTTAAGTTACCAATGGTTTGATGTGACTTAAACCTTTGACTATTGATACAACTAGACATTCCATCTCCATGCGTTGTTGCCAGTTTTTAAGTCAAAATGGGCAAAGTGAGCCATCAACAGATTGCGCTGATGTAAATTACTGGTTTCTGTTTAATTTTCAGACGTAACCTAGTCAAACTAAAAAAATGAGCTATATAACTATCTCAGTACCAAAAAAAAGGTTGAAACATAGACAAAAGAATTTAATTTAGACCAACAGCAATGCTGCAGTTAGCATATATTATGGTGTCTACCACTAGGAGTGCCGTGTAGAGTCGGCGCACACCGCTGTAGCGTTAAGCACTAGCGAGCGTTGCCATAACAAGTTGCTAGTTGGAGCCAGGGTTGCCAACATCTGGAAAATTCCCCAGAATCCAAGGAGTAGGAGTTTGTTCCATTATTTTTCCAAGAATTCTAGAAAAATGGGCTTTTCTGTTAAAATTACCGGATTTCAGAATCCTGTACTTTACCTTTATTGAAAAGTGGGTCTGAGAATTTTGTTTGCAAGGGTGGTAGTGCTAGTAGCAGATGGTGAGTCGACGACGGCAGCGAATTGACGGAACACTGAGCATGCTCTAGCGGCACATCGCAGAACCTTTCTTTGACAGTCTATATTCTATTTTTCTATGATAAAAAAAGAATTTTAGACATGAGCTCAAGTAACTAGCTTGTACAAAACTATTTTCTTTTTTAACAAAAATTTGGCAACAGCTGGTCCATACAAGTGGGATGTGTGCTTCAGTATCCAAAAGTCAATACTTAATGGTTATTTTAGAGTCTTAGGAGGTCACCATACAGACGAGAATACTGTTAGTCTATGGCTAAGGCAGTTGGATAAAAAAATTAAATCCATAAGATAAATTAAGATGAATGTTCTTTTTCTCTTTAAGTTTTTGTTTAAATTTTTCGTTATTTTCCAGGGCGCAAGAGGCGGGCAAACACTGAAAGATCACTTACACTTTTTGAAAAAGCTGCAAGTACCAGCCAAGGCAAAACACATCTTGGCCAGAAAAATCTATCTGAGAAAAGCAACAAGAAGAAATCAATGTTTGACTCAGACACAGATGACTCGGACACATACAGCGGAGTTGCTAAAGTAGCGAAAATGTTACTCGATGACAAATCCGAAACTAGATCAGTGGCCTCTGGCTGTTCTTCAAAAAATGACCCGGCAAAAACAAATAAGATAAGGCAAGAGGGAAGTGTGAAACCTTTGAGCAAAGAGGAGGGACTGAGCAAACAGGAGGGACTGAGCAAAGATGAGGGGCTGAGCAAAGACAAAGAGGAGGGACTGAGCAAAGGCGGCAAGTCTGATGCCTCAGAAACACCATCTGGAATTGTCTACAATTCCAAAATAAACACCACAAAGGAAACTGGCAACTCCGGTGAGCAAGGTAGCAAGCCTCCATCAATGGCGGGAAGTAATATGTCTCGTAAATCAAAACTTCACAACTCTGAACCTGCAATGTTGCCTGAAGATTCGTTTGGCAATGAGGTAGAGGCTAGCCAAGCTGTAGATAGGCGCATGGCAGATGATGAACTCTCACATCATAAACTGTCACAGAGTACAATCACAGACTTCCTAGCAGCTGAGTCTGAGGACGCTGTGGTTCCTGACGCAAGCTTGACTCAACTGTCCGAACCTTTTGAAGAATGAAGACAATATGTTTTGAGGATATAACTTTAACAATGTTTTCATACAAAGTTTTACTAGACAATGATAATCCAGTGACTAAAGTTTTAAATAAGTATAGTTTACTTACTAGCGTTAAGTGCGTGTTAACACAACAGGATATGATGAAAGGTTTTTTCATGAAACACATCGTTCATTGTTAGGTATAACAAGTGTGTGTTTTAAAACATCATATTGACTTACATTGTTAGTAAGTTACATACTTAGGTTACATTGTTCAATAATATAATTCAAGGGATACTTTCAGTATCATATAAGTTTTGTATAACATTAGGTAACATCAAATGTTAGGTTTAAGCATACGAGAAGTTAAGTTCTAAAAATATCATAGTAATTTACATTAGGTAAATTCAATAGGTAATGTAACTTCTAGGAATATTTTTCAATCACATTTCGTTTAGGGTTAAAATGTTACCTTATTTAATAAGGATGCGTTTCTTTATCATCTTAGTTTAGTAAAACGTTAGGTAGGTGATCCTAAGTGTTTTTTGGACTGTAGTTCATGGAATGAAAGCTTTCTTTGTTGTTAAGAAAACAACTGAATAAAATAAGCATGAAGTTTTAATTTAATGTACGGGTACAGATATTTATTTTTAAGAGTTCAACGCATTTCCATTTTTAAGTTTTGTTTTTTGTTTGGTTGTTCAATAAATTTTAAGAGTTGTTTGAGTATAATTCATTAATTATATCCTTTCCTGGTTAAAATTTTCATATTAAATAGGCCTATGCAATATTAAAATGTTATATAAATAATAAATATTTAAATTTTAAATTTTAATAGGTTATTGTATTTTTTAAACAGATAATAACATAAAAGAGGACTACATTTAATTCCAAACCTAATTTGGGTAGTGTTTCCCAACCTGTGGTAGCCGTGCGGACTAATGCTAATGCCTGGATTGAGTTGGTATTATAGTTTCGGTTTATTTGGGATGGTGCATTGGTTCACAGTAACTGAGTAATATCAGCAAGATAATATTGACAACGAGATTCTTTTTGTTGAGCGGAGCGAGCGAAGCTCTTGTACATCGACTCTTGTGCATTTCGTAATACCCAAACTCCTCCTAGACGGCTGAAGCAATTGTTTTCAAATTTTTCATAGTGATAAAGGCCATATCAGTGAGTGCTAACATCTATAGAGCGTTAAAAAATTCTCTCAGGAATCCGCCCCACGGGATCTCAAAGTTTCAATATAATCCTTATGGAAGCAGTATTTGACACATAAACAAATGCATAAGATCAGCTGGTAACTTTTGAATTCAGTAGATCAAGAAACAGCTCATAGCATTATTCCATGGATATTAGAACAGAAACGGTATAGATCATAAATATAACCAAATGACGACACTAGCCTTGACAAAAAAAAACTTAAATTGTTTTACTGATACTGAGTTTATTTAGTTAGCTAGTTAGTAATGTTTAAGTAGTTGGTCTCAGATTTAAGAGAAGCCATATTTTGTGTTTTCCCTTATATACTCACCATCACATAAAGTCCTCTTACGGAGTTATCAGTAGCCAAAATGGTAGAGTCCAAAACTGGAAGGGCTGATTTCTAGCCTATCACTAGCTGGAACTGTACCGACCTGTTTGAGAAAATGTTGATGACCAACCCAGTGGGCTTAAACTTAAAATGTAAAAGTAGGTCTTCGAAAAAGCCTAAAATTACATCTCTGTGTTTTTTACTCCCCTCTACCACGAAACAACGTGTAGCCAATCTAATTACCCCAATATTTTTCTCTACACAAATGTTGTCTCACTTAAAATTATTGTAGGTAAAATAACTATGAAGCTCGGTGGTTAAGGTATAATAACACATAAGGTAAAATAACAATATCATATGAACCCTGATGACCCTGCTCAATTTTGTGGATGCCTCTGCGAACGCCACCTAGTATAGCACCGAAAGTCTTAATTAATTAGAGTGAAACTTAACTTTTGCGCTCGGTCCTCAGGAAGCTTAAGTAAGGCTCATAAATTTAAAATAAAATTATATTCAAATAGTTCTTAGAGAAAAGCCCTTTGGTCCGATTTGTACCATTTCAGATCCATACCTTCCCATCGTTGGTTACTTACAATGTCTGTGCTAAATTTCACGTGGATTGCTTTAGCCGCTCATGAGGAGTATGTGGAAAAAAAAGCAGAAGGGTGGTGTAAGAGCTTCACTTGCTCCGCTTAATCAGTAAATTTATTGATAAATGGCGGATTTTCTTGACGATTATTCAAAACCTTTTGCGGTCCCATACATAATTTGTTGGAGTTTTGCCCCAATTGCAGGGCCCTGTGCGGCTGCACTTTTCGCAAATGCGGTAGGCCGACTTTACTTTGTATACCAAAGTTGGCTTAAAATACCTACATTCGTATGATCACCATTACAGATTAAAGTATGGAATTGCAGATTTTCTTTAAATATGTCGTCAGTCATAAGGTTGAGAAATTGTTAAGGAAATGTATTCAATCTTTGGCCCCTTTTTAGCAGACAGAAAATACAGTTTCAAACCTGATTTACATTATAATATTAGGAATAGTGAGATTGAAACTGAAATATAGAGAAACCATAAATACAACTTACAAATGTGAAATGTTAGCCATAAATTAAAGGGGGATTTATAAAGCATCTTGAAACAAACTTATAAACAAAATTGCCTCTACACCTCTATTATTTATACAGTTTGTAGTTGAGAAATGCCCCAGTAATTTTCCTAGTCTGCCTCTTGTCCAATATCAGTAATATTGTTTTACATCCAGTCTCAGTTTTCAAAACTGTACACGTGTATCCCAGATAACCTCACTAGCACTAGGAGTCGCAGGTTATCCCGGCCCAGCTCGTTAGTGGCGGATACGGTTGTTTTTGTTTTCAAACTACGATAAACTTTCTGATAAACCGAGAAGAATAAAAGGAAAATAATGAGCTCAGCTCGGCTTGCAATGAGTTTACAATAGTGACAGAGATTTGGAATTAATAAAATTATTTTCACCACACTATGATGTTATTAGCTGTTTTACATACGTTTATTGGTGGCTGAAAGTTACGTTTTGCTGGCCATGCCAGGTGCCATCGTCATTTGGGGACCGAGCAGGGTTTTACATCCCTAGGGCCGCAAAATCAGCTGCCCACTTACTTTCTTAAAACATGAATGCATATTAAATACACAATCAGTATCCATAGCATTCCGATATAATTGTTTTATTGTCACTGCTGCCTAGCAACCATTTATTATTATTTTTTATGATTCTTCAAATTATTTCGTCACATAACCTTAAAGTTGTAGTTGTGTTGACTATCAGTGTGCATTATTATTGTGGTGAATAGTGGTAATAGGGTATAGTGTAAGTGTGGTGAAAAATAGAGTTCGTACTACGGACCGAAATGGTTTTGCAGCTCTCGATCTGTTTAAAAACTATCTCGAGCCGGCAAAACCTCATTTTCGGCCCTAGGTACGAAATATACTATTAAGGAATCGTTAAAACACTTCTTGATGGAATATAAAATGATTAGATGGATATCTGACAAAAACAGCCTAATCTTTTATCTATTTAAAGTGATACAATCAAATTGTATGTAAGCTGTTAAGGCCATTTATCAAATAAAATATAGGCATCATATCAAATTGCAGAAAATGATTGGGATGGACAAATTTCTTAAGGGCTCTGCCCCACAGACAGATTTCCAAAGGGCAAACGTACCACATGCTTCCAAAGTTAATATTTTTTTTAACAAGTATTTATTTACAATCTATTCTATACTAGAACAATAAGTATATTTCATGACCATTTTAACATGGGTTAGATACACTCCACTCCATCAAGTGATTTAAGTTTAGATGATTTAATTTTATTTAATTAAACAGCTGATCAATTTAACTGGGTTTTGTTTATTTACTCGATAAACATGTTTGTGAAGACTGTGATTATTTAGATTGAAAAATTATGTGCATTATTTAGTAAGAGGGTTATGTTTGGTTAAGGTTGTATCCGTTTTGTAGTGTATTGCTCGCAGTATTATTTGTAATTTATATATTTAGCTACATGTAAAGAGGCTTGACTAAAATTGAAGAACATCAACATCTCATTCATGAAGCATCAATATCAAGTAATTTGTGTGATTGCTAAGGTATTTGGTTTTCTTTTGGACTCATTGACATCAAAAGTAGGATTTTGAACGTAAGTAGGTTTACACTTATAAATAAGTTTATCTTTTCAAACTAAATCATTAGAGTTGCTGTATTTTTAAACACACAGTTCCAATTATACTCTCTAGTGGCTTCGTAGGTCACATTTTCTTCCAGTACTAACTATTCACGTGCATTTATGGTCTGTACTGTAGAATTGACTGTGGGAGTTATTTAATTAATTATAGGGGGTTTTGAATGTTTTATTTGACAAATGCATATAGACGGAGATAAGACCAAACACTCACAGGCGTTTGCAGAACAATATCCAAAGGTCTTACCGATCGAATGGACGGTTTAAAATGAATACCAGGGACATGAAAAACATGTGACAGACAAGCATGTGACAGTCTATGTGAAGCATAGACTGTAAACATAAAACTGTACACTATGGCATAGGTAGGAATATATACTTTAAGATCCAATTCGATACATTTAGTCAATGATAAACCTAAATACATACAACCTAAATATACATATATAAACCTATATGCATAATCCGATAGCAAAACAAATAATCGATTTTATATACATCGACAACTATATCAGCTTACAAAGAAATAACCTAATTAACCCACTTTGTAATGTTTTGTCAGACTCTGTGACATTTTTACCTTGGTTGGTTGCAGATTAATAATTTTAATCAACTGGCTAATCTGGCTTAACAATCACATAAAGCGTTGTAACGAACGATAGCGTGTCACAAAGACGGCAAAACATTGATTCAACGTCCTCGTCGCAGCAACCCTGCATATCAATTAGTGTGCTTTAATCAATGGTGGAAATGTTGGTTTTAACGGAGTATGTTTTATCTATTGCTTATCGTAAAGAATCTTTAATTTCTAGTAACATACGGAAAATACAAAACACAACAACAAATTTGTGTTGACGTATTAGGATGTTCTGTTTTAGATTGTTTCATTCGATTATTTGAAAGCGAATATTTTTTCCGTAGTTGAGCTAAAAGAAAAATTGGAGTTTGTAATTCTGTGACATAATTTTTTTATGATTATTGCTTTTTAACTGCACAGCCCCAGCTGTCCCTGAACATTGGGGCTTTAAATAAATTTCATGTTGTTAGCCTTCGGATCACTGGCATTAGTAATAAATCCATATATATATATAAAATAAATAAGGAATCCCAAAGTACCCATGAACTTTTGAGAAAACTAAAACACCCCTATATAAACCATATACTTAAAATGTTCGTCATGACGAGAAACCTTGCGCAAAACTATCCATTACTAGATGGGTACCCGTCCTTCGTACGGGGTTGGAAAATAAGTATAATTCAGTTATACTCGACCTTTGCGTTTGCAATGTAAGAAGACACGGTTTGAGAAAATTGGCTTCCTCAAATTTACGGTATGCTAAAGTATTACACATCTACCATAGCCATAATGTTCTACCACTTCACCTACACAATAGAGAAAGATAGATTATTAAAAATTCGCAATATATCACAAATTATTTATGAAAAAAATAAACATAACTGTAATAAAAATC